AGCCAGCCAGCCAGCCAGCCAGCCAGCCAGCCAGCCAGCCAGCACTGTTGCCTTGCAACAAGAAGGTTCTGGGCTCAATTCATGGAGTTTGCATGGTCTCCCCGTGCATAGGTTAATTGGCTTCCCTAAATGGGAGTGTGTATGAATGGTTGTATGTCTCATTGTATCTACATGTTGCCCAGTGACAGATTGGCTGAAGGATGTACCCGTCTTTTTTTCATAGACTGCTGGAGATAGGCACCGGCTCTATTGTGACCCTGATGGAAAAAGCAGAGGCCCGTTGCACAAAGCAGGTTTACCTAATTCAGACGGAAATCCTCAACTCTGATTTGTCAGTTTCACAACAGCTGGTGTCAGTTAGTTTAAAGGTGCAGTAGGAGATCTTTTATGACGCATATTTTTACCATGTGGCTTAAAGATCTCCCCATGCCGTTTAGCAAGCAGTGAAATAGGGGTGGATGGGTTGTAGTCTGAACCGGACTGGGCATTGGAACCGAGCCATGAGCTCCGGGGCTGGTCCGGGAACCCCAGTGGACAGGGACAGAGCGACCGAAGGCGTGGTTTTCGAGGAGTGGCCTGAAGGGAGAGGCATGGTTGTGTATGTTCAAAAAATAGCTTGCTGGCACCGTTTTTTTCCAAGAGCTCCTACTGCACCTTAAATCAACTCTAAGTAGGTCTACTCAGAGGTAACATTAGAGGGGGAAAACTAGTTTACTGTTTGAATGGTAAGATATCAGTGTATTATATTCTGAGCCAATCTTACTGGGCAAAGTCACACCTGGCATCAGGTGAAGATGAAGTATAAAAACTTTCAACAGGTAGGACCTCTGCAGCCCCATGGCCTTTCCTGTCAAGATGTCAAAGTCAATATTTCATAGTAAGAGCATAGGTGAAACTTAACTTCACTGACTATTGCTAAATTGTTATCTATGGACAACTTTTAAATCAGCCTGGGAGTACCATCAATTTTTGGAAAAGCCCCAGAAGCACTAAAAAAAATGAGTCCATGACATCCAGAGCTGCGTGTGGATAACGGTCAGATTCGGCGGTACTTCTTTGAAGACGTACCCACGCAAAAAGCACCAATGCAGGGGAGTTGCCAGAGACAGACGGGGGCTATGCTGGAGGTAAGGTAGGACAATGAAGAGTCCTTCTTGGCCGAAACCTTTTGCTAGCATTCCTTATTTCTACCTTTATTAACATTATTATCTCTGTATAAATGTATGTTGATCAAATTTTCTCGACTGGAAGACCGGGAGAAGGGGACCTGTCCTGTCCTGCCAGGACATACTTTGTTGGGATACACCATGGACTCATGTAAGGCTTGGAGGATGGTGTGTTTTACAATGTTATCAGTCGAGGATGTGGAAGACATATAAATATTTGGATTTATGATACTTAGATTTCTTCTGTTTGGATTTGGAGGATAAATAATGTATCTACAATTACAGAGGATGTCGGCAGCAATTTGGGCACTGATTAGGCTGTGGGCAGCGGTTGACACGCTCACAAAGGCTGTGAACGAGCAGGACCATGAGCTGAGCTGTATGGTGGGTGCGATTGAATGCAAGCTGGCTGCGGTTGGTTAAACTCAAAGCTGAGGTGGGATAATATATTGGATGTCCATGCTCGCTTCAAGGCAGAAAAGCCCAACAGATTCGGAATATTGGATTCACCATGTGGAGCCCAGTGACAAAAGACTAAAAAGGCTGATGGAAAATTCTGTGCAGCTTGCTCTCAAAACAAAAAGTGTATTTTGGATTTCGACCTCTCCCTTATGAAAACTCCCCTGGATGTTATGGTGGAAGGACCCAGAACTGCCAGATCACCCCCCAGATCTGGCATTAAGATCCGGTATCAGTGAAAGCATATTGACAAAAAGTATAACAATTAGTATTTAGCGTTCACCTCACCTCTTGCTACTATGGGAAATTTGCACAGGATAAACATTTAATCATGAATGCTTATTATATATTTAAGCCCATGTAGTCCTGTTGGATACTGGGCTGATACACTTAGAGCCGTGCTTGTATAAGACTTTTACATTGTTGCGGCTACAGACAGATTTATTTTTTGTTTTTTTGTTCCAATATGGCTCTTTGAGCAGTTTGGGTTGCCGACCCCTAGTGTTAGGTTATTTTTGTTATCTGCTCCTGAGACTCTCGCCATGGAGAAGTATGTCTCCGAGTCACTTAGAGCTGGCATAATCCGTCCCTCTTCCTTTCCTGCTGGTGCAGGCTTCTTTTTTTTTGTGGGGAAGAAGGACGGTTCCCTCAGGCTATGTATAGATTACAGGGGTGGAAATGACATCACAATCAAGAATGGCTACCCCATCCCTCTGATCAACTCAGCTTTTGACCAGCGTATCCAGTGAGCCCACCACAGCTGACGAGTAGCCGCAAGCAGTCTTTTCAATAAAACGCCTTTTAAGTATCACTGTGTGTCTGGTCTGAACTCTGGAACCTACGTCGTGAGCCTTTTGACACTTAGATGGGAGCCCTTATTTACATGCAAAACAGGCTGAGTGATGAATTAAGGTAAACATAAGATACAGATAAAATCAAAGAAACAAACATAACCAGATTTCAGAGGCGAGAAAAGGAAGAAATCTGACATACTGAATTGGCAAATGTAACAAAGAAACACTAAAGGAGCAAGAGACAGATGAGGATTTTATAGCAAAGAGACAAGCAGAAGTAGAGTGACAGAGAATGAGGAGAAGAAAGGGATGTGGCATGGAAGAGAAAGAATGGATTCGTCACTGCGCGTTGATTTCCTGTGATCTGCAGGTCAGAGCGCAAGCAACATAAGAACGACTCAATTTGAACCATGAGCTCTCCGATTCATTGCGCTGTCAAATATGGCTTTCCTCAGCAAGTCTCTATTAATGTAGAAATCTGAAACAATACAAAATCTTTTCTTTAGCAGGCTAAAGTGATGCCTATATTTGCCTCTAATATCAGTCCCTAACAAATCAGAGAACAGTGTGTGTCCAAAGATAACTGTGCAAACACACACTACTGTTTCCCTTAACCTGCCTACCTCTCACTCATTCACAAATATGTGTACATAATTGTGAGTTTGGTTGGTTTATGCAGCTTGAAATAATCACACATTTTCCCAACACTAATCCTTATTAACATAGAACTATATGAACCTATAGAAAATGACCATATAGACAATAGATTTTTTTTCAGTACTAAAAGTACTACAACTTTCTTGATCTTTTTAACCAGTGATTTAAAGTATTTTATATTTTTTTTTTTACAAATTCCTTTATAAAGAATCTTTGGGTAAGAATGTTTATAAAAAGTCTAACGGGCGGAACACACCAAACACCATTTAGTATCCGATCTGGATAGAAAAACGAATTGAAACTTAGAGCTCTCTGGAAATGCATGGGCCTTGTTAGACCACACAGGATTGTCTGTAACAGCACTTGTGTAGCTCCAACCTAGCTAGACCCCTGATCTATTTTGGTTGGACCTACACAGCAATTCATCTGCAATGTTGTGACTCTGACAGGAAGAGAGACAGGGTGGTAAAGTAAAATACACAGTAAAATCCCCTATCACATGTAAAGCAGCCAGGTTCACCCACTTTGAAACATGCTGTGTGAACGGGGCAGACTCTGCCATAAAAAATAGATAAAACATTTCGACAAACAGTGTCCTTTTATCCATGATAGGAGCTCAGGATGACAAAAAACAGATAAAATAACACTTCAATACTTTTTGAACTTAAAAAAACATGAGAGACAATGCAAATTTAGCCTACCTCCTTCTTTATGTATATAAAAAAAATAAAGATCAGAAAACTAAAAACTACATAGAAAGCTCTCAGTCTCCTTTAACTGCCTTGCCCGGTCATTACCCCTTCCAGAGTCTTTGTTTTAGCTGTGTAATCTTTTCTTTTCTTAAAAATATTATAGTATCCATAATATTTTGAAATCCTTTTGACATGACCTGCTCTGATAGCTGGCCTTAATTGCTTATTTCACTCACCTGCCTTGTCTGCCCAGTTCCTAATCATCTCTGATCTCATCCACCTGTAGGTTCTGCTTTATATTCAGTCCAGCCCAGCTATCGTTGCAATATCATTGTTTGACTTCTGTTTATTCCCTGTTTTCTGGTCAGTCAGTTTTGTTAATTTTAGTCAGTTCCAAGGTTCTTGTCCCTGTTCCAGTTAGGAGTTTATTCTCAAGCCAGTGTCCTCAGGTGAGTTATTGTCCCTAACCAGTTGATGAGAGCCTTTCAGCATTGGCCTAGTGATTCTATTTTCCTGATTCAGTTCCCTCTCACCCACTGGCCCTGTATGTCCCTGGCTGATCTGCCCACCTGAACCTCAGTTGGACTCCTGCTGGATTCTTCCTATTTGTGGGTTTCTGACTGCTGGATGCTTGGTGCACGGGACTCTGAACCTGTCCTCCAAAGTGCGTTTTGGTCTGAGCTGGATGATCGACGCACGGGACTCTGAACCACCCTTCACGCTCTAATGGATTCCTGGAACCTGGATCTGTCTGTTCCTGAGTGGATCAGAACCCCTGACCGGACTGTGGACTCCTGGATTCCAGAACTACTCCGGTCTGATCTGAATCCCTGCCTTGGATCGCAGTTATGCTTGCTCACTGTGGTTGCTGCATCGGGGACGGTCTGGATGGCTCAGGGCTGCCTCTCATTGGCAGTGCATCGGCTTATCC